ATTTGGATTTGTTACTTAGAGGAAATAAATGTAATAGTTAGTTTAAAATAAATAAATAAAAGTGGTTTAGATGGGAAAGAAGGCATCCATATTGATGGTGTTGGAGTCATTTCTTAAAACGAAACAAAAGGAAGGAAATACATGAGAATGGAGAAGCAAATTGAGGAGGTAAAAGTCCTGCAAAAGTACAAGAGAAAAACATGACTTTTAAAGATATAAAAAAATAGTGGCAACTTTAAAAGAATGATGATTTATAGTACTTTATGGATGGTATCCCATCATCCTTGTAACCATTTCATCATTGTTTTTTTGTTTTCTTATTTTTATTTAGGGATTCTTTCTCTAACTATGCTTCTTTTTGGTAGGTAAGCTGTCTAACTTTGTTTCACAAATACAATAATATCAAAGGATTTTTAAGAAGGAACAATTCCCATTTATGAGCCATTCAAGGGAGGGTGTACTTAGGGGAAAGAGCCAATGGTAGCCCTTTTAGGTAAATTACCATTTTAAACTTTATTACCCAACCATTCTTTGTTTTGCCCAAAAACATGTTGGAAACTTATTGAGTACTCCTAAATAAAAATTTTAAACCTAAATAAATGTTAGTTTGGCGATATGGTTTTCCTTTATCTTTTAAATTGTTATTGGAAAAAGTTTATATGAGAGTGAGGCTCTAAACAATCATTTTAAGGTGCATCTCAAAAATTCACTGAAAAATGTTGTTTTGATGCCAAAAAAATCTTCAAATCGATCATCTTGACCTCAAGATGTATGGATATAAAAAAAAAAATAGATTTAAAGTCTTAGAAATAGAGCATCTTATAATGCATTTTCTAGACTGTCAATTTGCAAAAATTTCAAATGTTCATAGATCTACTAGAGCTCTACTATTTTTTAAGCTTTAAATTTTATAATTAGAGGTGAAAATGAATTTTCTTGTCATTACAAATATTTTCAAGACTGAAACAATATCTTTCGATACTATTTGAAGGTGCACCTTTCTTGGATTGTTTAGGGCCTCGGCCTTATACAAAGCACAACCTTTATTATTTGACATGGAGATGGGGAGATAAGAAAAAAGGTTTGGGGTGTGGATAAATTCCCTCTCTTTGCTTTTTATTCCAAAGCACAAAGGTTATCAAAGAAGTAGACACGTAAACATGTTAAATGTTTGTCAAGATCTTCTTTATGTCTTCTCGAAATGACTATCAAGGATTATAGAAATCAAAGGATTTTGATAATGCTTCGTAATTGTAAAAACATAACTCCCAATGTCATGGAAAGTAAGAAAGGATGCTTTCACAATGGGCATTGTGTTGCCAGAATCCCTTACCCACTATGTCTTGTGTTGTTGAGTCTATGCAAATACACATGCACCGATGCCATACTACTATAGGGCGCTCGATTGGACCGGCTCATCATTTAAAAATCAATGAACTGACTTAGAATCACTCGAGTTAAAATTAGAATAGAAGGCATTTGGCTTCAAATATCTATAAACCTAAAAAAGACCTCAGGTTGTTTATAATGGGTTTGTGCATTGTAGTGAAGCACCGGGATCATTGTTGGGACGGGCATTCCCAAAACTCAAAGCAATCTTTTTATATTTTATGAAAAAAATTTCTCTTTTTATTCTACAGGTGATTCCTGAGAGACGGAACTGAACAACAAACTCAGGAATCAGCTATCCAACTCAAATGACAAGTGCCCCAATTGAAAGGCAATGGCTTTTTTTTTTTTTACTAGACACCGGATTGGTCCATATTTTTCGCAATTTGATATCCTTCAATTTCTTGCTAGCCAATTTTAGCCCATTGGATCATTATGCACCGAACCGACCCCAATTAGTTGGAAAATGCTCCAACGCCAATAGTGATGGATCGTTATGCACCTCAAAGTCCTATCATCGGATTTTACCAACCTCACCCAAAAAGGAATAAATGCAATCAACCATAGTAGGACGCAACATTAGCTATATGGTCCTGATGAATAAAGATACCTCTATAAATAAAGGGTTTTATTAGGCTACACCACTTGGTGGTGTAGATTCTTAAAGTGATCAACATTTTTTGACATTAAAATGCCTTTGAATTGTAATACAAAATTTTTCAAGTAGGGCTATTTTTGGTCATTTAGAAAGGCAGAATGGATATTTTTATAAGAAAATAATAGCATTATATTAGTAGTTAAAAATAATTAATTCATCTTGTGGGTGATGTCATACACCATATTAGTGATGTCATTGTCCACTATTATAAATAAATGCTTTTATTTTTATTAGGATTTTCTATTTTACCCTTGACTAATGATTTAAAATATCCATAAACAAAAAGTTACTGTACTATTGAGGTATATAACCAAACAGTATAAAGGTATATAAATGTCTAAAAATGTTGAGGACTTTAAGAGTCTATACCACAAGTGGTGTAGCCCAACAAAACCCTAAATAAATAAGATAAATATAAACTATTGAAGTTCCCGTTTATATTACCATTTTTTATGCCAAAAGAGGCCATTATCTCCTCCAAATAATCTCTTATAGGAAAATTATTATTGTGCAATTTGTGTTTCAAATAACTTATTTATGATCCCTTGCCATCTTATTATCATCATAGATCATACATCTTGCAGGGTTCTTAGGAACCCTCGTTTACAAAATTGGGATCTTAAATACCGAGATCTTAACCAAGATCGTGTACATGATTGGTTAAATACGAAGTGGATGAATACAACTATAAATTGAGTGCAAGAAATAAATTAATAACCATAATCACATCACAATAACACAAGATTTACGTGATTCACCCTGTAGTACTACATCTACGGCCGTGGCAAATAGAAATCTATTATCTCAATAAAAATTACAATTTTGGCTTACGTCTTTCACATTTTTCTTCCAAAGAAGGGCTTTGAGCTGTGTCCGAACTTATCGTGGAAAAAATGTACAAACGAAAGATACGAGACTGGAATGTAGAGTGCTCTCGACAATATCATATTGTACAACTACTCTTAATGTCAATAACAACAATTGAGCAATACTCTTTAGGAGCTAAAATTGATCCATTTTTGTTAAGGATGGGGTTTTTATGAATCACCCAACTCATATGTACAGACGCATCCACTCTCTAAAATTTATTTTTGAGATGGATTTTTTATCCAAGGTATTCATTACCCAGGTCAAGATGATCATGAATATGAAAAATACAATAAAATTTTTAAAAATCAAACTGTACCTTTGTATGGAACTTTTTTTACACCGTGGGTCTCCGATGCACCTTTTACAACATCCATCTTAAAGATGGACTCACATAAAACTTTTCCTCTATTAATGCAGTGTGTGGAGAAACAACCCTCCCCATCCATTCCATGCAAATCTCATGGACCTGCAGTCAGTGTAACTCGAATTAACTCCCCAACAATCCTCAATTTTAACTTTCGACGGTTGAGGGGTGTTAGACAGAGGTGGCAATGGAACGGTTGGTCCGCCCAGCCGGATCCGCTCGGACCAAAAAAAATAGGGTGCGAGCCACAAAATGTGGCTTTGAGGGCTGGGCTAGGGACTAATGACTCTTTCTTAACTTCTAAATACCGTGAGAAGGCACATGATTATGAGTCTGAAAAGTGGTAAATGTATAAAATATTAAGTAAAAAAAAATATATCATGAGACTATTTACTTTTGATACAAGGTGGTCACAATTAATCTTGACCATTGGATGTGAAATTGAGCAGGTGTATTTAGTCTATTGACTAAGCTCAAAATTCAAAATAAATTTCTTGAACTTTGTGACACCCAAGCTATCAAAATTTACATCGAATGGTTGGACTTTCACTCTACATCGCACCTTCGGCTATTGTCCGATAAACATTAAACTCTTTGTGTCAATACAAAGAAAGCCAGAAAAGCCCACTAAAAAAAAAAAAACCTTGAAGGCCTTGCAAACCACTCAGAGGCCTTTTCTGCGCTATGCCGAAGAACAACTAGTTCTAAGCTATTTTCCTTTAATCGGAGACCGATGGTCATACACCACTAATCTCGGAAACAGACTTGCTTCTACGCTTATAGGGTTGGTCCCCTAGAAAGAAAAGGAAAGGCACTAAGACAGTTTGGAATGCAGGCATGGAGTGGATTATTTCTTAAAGGCAAGGGTGGCTGGAGTTTGATATCGTAGCTTCAAGTCAAGTTATTTGCCTAAAAGAAGGAGCCAGATTGGTGCGAGTCGAAGCTGATTGACTTGTTTTCCTTCCCTTCACCGATGCTAGTGACACCCTCTGATTCCATAATCAAAAATGGAAATTTGGCTATGGAGATTCCGCATTCATACAGACACAAAGGGGTTCGATAGGAAAGTTGTTTCAATCCAATCAATTTTTGGGGTGTAAGTAATTGCGACCTCCTTGTATTAAAGATAAAGGTCTCGTTGTATACAATCTCGTGCGTATGTGATGGCTAGTTTGATGAATTCTCATCCTTTTTTGTTTTTTACATTCACACCTGGTGCTCACAGGGCCAAAGCGAAGGCCTTTTAGGCCCTACCAGACCAGGACGAGCTCAAGCAGATCCAGTAGGGAGTAGGGACGGGCCGGGGTTGGCCCGGGCAAGGCCAGGGGCGACGCCATCCCTAGTGCTAGCATAGTATTGGAAATCCAAACGCTACCACAGTATATAAACCCGTTTGTTGGGTGGGGTAGCAACAAAATAAAGCAGGACTTATTTGTAATTTAATGAGAAGGCAGGGCCAATGGCCCATCCACTCGGTGCCATTTTTGCCCCCACCCCCCACTAACTCACACTATCCGTACAGTAGCACCGGCTGCCTGTCGCACGTGTGAGACTGACAGGCGCCCGCGAGCCATTGGCGTATGGCTGCCGTCGAGGCGAGAAAAGGAGAAGACGACAAATTAAAATAGAAAATAAAAAACCCCCTAAAAAGAGAAAAAAAAATAAAAATAAAATAAAAAGGCTTTGAGCCCCAACCATATTTATGGGGGTTTTTGCACTTCCATCCCCAAATCCTTCTCTCTCTCCTTTCCCTTCCCTCTCTGCAAATCGTCCGGCGATCGATGAGGATCCGGAAGAGATCAGCCCATCTCCCTCCCCCCTATCTCTCTCCTTTATTCCTCCCTTTTCTCTCTCTAAAACCAGAAGAAATAAGCCACGGAGAAGCTCCAAGTCACGATGGTCATGAGGGTTTTATAGAGCGAGACAAGGTTGATCATGGTGACAGTAATAAGGACCAGATTCCTCTTCAATATATCGGAAATTTGAGTCCCTTTATCTTTCACAGCAATCAGGTGTGCCCACTTTTTCTCTTTATTCTCTTACTGTAACTATATTTTTTTGACCAGAAAATCATATTTTTGCAGCTGGAAGAAAGCCCATCTTCCCATTCATCTTATATGATTTTCTAGGTTTTTTGTTCTATTTTTTCTTCGATTTATCTAGGCAAATCTGACTTATGATGAGGACCCAAAAGATCCATGGTGCAGTGGTTTTATAGACTTGAACTCCAAACTTGGTAGCATGTCATAGCGCTTGCAGATCTGAGATATATACTTACTATTAATGAAAATCCCATTTTTTTAGGCGAATTTTCAGAGCTATTATTGCACGATCCATACACTATAGTGGCCGGAAAAACAATTTCTCGGTGGTGGTTCTGCCGCTTTCTCCCTTTTTTTTCTTAGGGCCAGGTGCAACGGTTCCTGGGGCCAGATTATTTTAACCTTTTACTGTAGAGAGAGAAAGAGAGAGGCCTTGTGGTGTTAGAGAGAGAAACCTGGGGTGTAAAAGAAAGAATATGAATGGAAAGAGAGGAGAGAGAGAGAGAGAGATAATATGGATGAGAGAGAGAGAGCATTGGGGTGCTAGAGAGAGATAATATGGATTGTAGAGAGAGAAAGAGAGAAGCCTTGGGGTGTTAGAGAAAATACTATGGATGAGAGAGAGAGATAATAAGATTGAGGAGTTTTCCTGATTTTGTGCAGGAGGAGAAAGTGGGTATGAAAGGGGATGAGAGTGTGGGAGAGGAGCCAGCGGGTGCACCCAATAACAGGTAATGATAATATTATTATTCATGGAAATCACGCACCAGTGATAGTAATGGCTAGTGGCCTTTTTTATCTGTTCATCTCGCAGCCTCGATCATTAGATGTGGAGTTGGAGAGAGAGAGCCGTGAGAACCCACTTTTGAGAGGAAAGCAGTGAGAAACCAGTTTAGAGAGAGAAAGAGAGCAGTGAGAACCCAGTTTAGAGAGAGAGTAGCAGTGAGACCCATCTTAGAGAGAGAGAGAGATGTTACATTTTACAGTGACAGTAAGACGGTAAGAGTAAAGAGCGATTCTATTTATGGAGCCTGCATGCAAAACCCTGGTTTTATTTAAGCCTCACTGCATATACATCTGTGTAGAGAGAGAAAGTGCTTGTATGTTAAGGCCCCAAAGCTCAACTTTCGTTTCCCTTTTGTGTGTGTGTTTGCTATAGCCCTGGTGCAAGGCCTCCTCCTCCATTGCCTCCGAAGCCAGGTACGCTCAACCCATCAAAAACCCAACGAATTCAATATAATTTCCTCCATTCCCAAACCAATTATTCCCTGGTTTTGTTTAGAGAGAGAAACAAATGGGAGGTGGTCGAAAGAGGACTACTCGTTTCCACTGAAGAAGAGAAAGAGAACCACTGTAGAAACAAGCGAGGAGATCAAGGAAGAGGGAATAGAAATGGCCAATGTTAACAGTGATAACACGGCAAAGCCGAAGAAGAAACAGAAAAAGAAGAAAGAGAACAGCGAAACCGAGCTCGGCGGCTCGCAGTGCAGCCGGATGAATGGTAGAGGGTGGCGGTGCAATCAGCAGACGCTCGTCGGCTACGCTCTCTGCGAGCACCACCTCGGCAAAGGGAGGATGAAGAGCATAAATGGGATAGTCTCGAACAAGAGAGAGAAGCTAGGAGAATCCCAGAAGAGAGAGAAAGAGCCTGAAGAATCACAGGAGAGGAGAGAGAAGTTAGAGAGAGAAAGGAAGAAGAAGGTGCATCCTGTGAAGGCCAAATCAATCAACAGTATCATAAACGAAACAGAAATTTGCAAACCCCAAGTTGGGTTTGATCCAAAACTCACATAAAATCACGGTATATTTGCTTTGTTCTTCTATTTTTTTGTTTCTCTCTCTTCTTCTTTTTTTGTTGTTCATCTCTCTTCTATTTTCCTTCTTTTTTTTCTTTAAAATGTGCCGCTGAGCCAGTACTGAGGAGTCAACGGTCCTGATTTTATATCGTTTTCTCTTGGTGAATCTCAACCGTCTATTTGGGACTTGATCTGACACTGTGCTTTGGCCTTTTCGATGGTTTCCGTTTGTGGAACAAAATTGGTGGGTCGAGGATTCGAACTAGAGAGAGTGACGCCTCATTTTATTTATCTAGATGCTTCCTCGCATAATCTCAATTTTACCCCTAACATTTCAGCAAATTACATTTCCATAATACCCTGTTTTATAATGAAGAAGAAATAAATGTCCCTACCAGAGGGACCATAATGCGTTTTTTTTTTGGTTTTGGTGAGGTTGGGGCATTGGATAAGTTCTATTAGAATTTCTCTCTCTCTAACCTGTTTCTCTCTCTCTTACATGTTTCTCTCTAAACTGTTTATCTCTCTCTCTCTCTCTCTCTCTCTCTCTCTCTCTCTCTCTGTGACATGTGAGCAAGCGCATAAGGATGTTATCGAGTTTGGCCTTCAACATAAGTGATTTGATTTGGTTGCTTATATTGCCAACAACTTTTAGATATAGTAAAGTAGGGCCTACAAATGTTGGGTTGTTTGTTACTTTAAGGATGGAAGGTGTAGTGGATTCATTTGCTTAAACTTTTCTTACATTTGTTGTCTTGTTCTACTGGTTCATTATAAGCAGTAAAAGTTTTTTTTTTTTTGTGGATAATGGAAAATAATGAATGGTTCTATCCATCATTATAATAAATAAATTTTCGAGCCGACTATAACAATGCGGAAGGGATTTCGAGAAAATAAGTAACAGGTCGCAATGGACCCGACCAGACCTGAGACCTGACGGGTAGATCCGACCTCGGGATTGGGTATGGGTCCAAAATACTATTCGAGTTTGATTTTGGATCCAACCGAACCCGACCTATACTTATAATCATAGGGTATATAATGGCAATCATGTATATGTCTTTAGATGCGTTAGGTATTCATATTGTCACAATATTGACAACATTTGCAATACCACTGACAAAAAAAAAAAAAACTCATCGTCATAAGGTATATAATTGTAAAAAAATAAAAAAAAAACACATAGTCATAGGGTGGCAAGGGATTCGACCAGACCGAGGACTCGACGAGTCCGCTTATGGATCCAATTTTTGGATTTGAATACTATTCGGGTCCAGGTCCAGTTGGACACGACCCGTACATGAGATAAAACGTTTGTCTTAGTTAGAAGTTCATCGTCTGACTTGCACTCACCCAAGTCCCATTTGGTGACAATTGGATCCTAGCAAGTCCCTACCCTAGTCGGCCTTTTAATTGCTTATTTTATGTAAGATTATGCCTAAATTTTCTCTAACTTCAAAAAAGATTGGACCTATTTCTATCGTCTTGGTACTATTACCAAGCCCTATAATGAGGTATTTGACACTATTCTCGCCAAAGATATGGTCCAAATCCCCACTGACTTATCACTTTTGATAGAGGGGTTGGGTCATGGCGGTAGTACCCTACATCCTAGTTACTATATTGTAGTTTTCATTCCCCCTACTAATACCTTCAAAACAGTCAACTCCCAATCTACTTGAAAAAATAGGTAGGAGCCTATCTTCCCCATTGAATTACCAAAAAACAGAAGAAGACAAATAATCTAATTAAGGGTGGCAACGAGACGAGTAGGGTCGGGTTGGGTTTGTGGTTCGGGTCTGACCCTGAAAAAGTGATATGGGGCCAGCCCAACCAGACATGGACCCTATCAGACCCCACAATTAAAATATTGGGACCTAAAAACTATTACCGGATCCGGACCTAGACCTGACCAAACCTAGACCTGAGTAGTAATTGGGTCCAAAATTTGGGCCTTGACCCAACCTGCCAGATCCAATATTTGGACCTATAATAGGACCCAAATTGGGTCTACCCCTCGGGTCATAATTCAGGTCCGGGTTCATTTCCACCCCTAGTTTAAATCCAAGTTCATCATTTCATTCGTTTTGAATTTTAGTAAAACCCATCTTAACTGCCATTATTAACACGGTAACCCTTTAACCTCAGAGCTCCATCTTTCTGTCTTTTTTACACTTACACCAACTTTAGTGCAATTTTTTCCTGTTTATTTGGTAGACTTCAGACCTATTTGGATGACAATTAATTTTATCTGGAATCAGGTTTCTTACCTGAAACTAATATACTATGAATACTATAATTTTCTTCCTTGTTTGGCGTATGTCTTCTATTATGTATGATAGTATTAAAATATTTAACATCTGTGCACATATCTTAAATTACATATGATATTATTAAAAACTTGAAATAATTAACATTTCCGATTATTTTTAACTATTTTTAGCTATTTATGTCTAGGAACATGTGGTTTTCAACAAATTACTTTGAGCAGATAGTTTTTAACAAACATATACATGTATACAAAACCGCCTACCTATCCATCTTATATGATGTTATAATGGACAGTATCAAACAACGAATGGTTCATTAAAGGATTTAACCTTATCGAAACAGTAAATTAAGGCCCTTAACTCATTCTAAATTGATTTTGGGCTTTGTTGGCAAATTCATGGACAAGGAGACATTTCTATCTTGCTTCCTTGGTCAGTTGTGTATTTTTTTCACATAGATTTTAAAATATTTCAATTCCATCCAATTTCTAGCACCTCACTAACATGGCTTTCCAACTGAGCTAGGTTACATAGATGACATATTCATAGGGGCATAATATGAATACAAGTGTGAAAAATGTCAATCTCA